GAGCACGTGGGCAGGTGTCCGCGGGTGCCCCCCAGGAGTTTAAACCAGGGGCTGGAGTGTTGCTGTGGGTCCGGCTCTGCGGTGGCACGGAGCAGTGGGCACAGGGCACCAGGGGCTGCTTCTTGCAGAGCTGTTGCCAAGCAAACGGAGCCCTAAAATGGGGCTCTAAAAATACCTGCAGCAGAATCAAAGGCTCCCGCGGAGCGGCACAAGCTGGCGAGGCTTGGCGGCTCTCAGAAGTCGCCCGTTTGAAGTTGTTGTGATGCAGGGGAAGCAGACGTGCTGTCTGCACTGCTGCCAGCTACCCAGCTTCAGGGGACTCCGGCGGTGCCTCGGAGGCACGTGGGCCTGGGGAGCAACCGGGATGGGGACGGGAGCAGGAGCTGTGTGCGGTGGGGGGACGGGGTCTGCACAGCCGAGCTGTGGGTGCCCCTGCAGCAGGTGACACTCGGGTGGGGTGTTCTGGAAAACGGGGTAGTTGTCAGGTCTGAGCTGTCTTCTCAGGGGCATCTGGGAGCTGCTTCCTTGCTGTGTTTATTCCCCATTCAGCAGTCACTAGGAACTGAGGGAAGCAGGGGGACTGGCTGTGAATCTCCAGGGCTAGCACTGGTAATGGCTGTGACAGAGCTGCTAGATTAGGTGCCACTCTCCTCTGGCAGACAGAGGATTATGGGCCAGTCCCATTCTAGTTTTTAAATACCATGGGAGGAAAGAAAGCTCCTAATAAATCCCAAGTGACAATGAACAGCTGGGTTTAAGAGCAGAATGGTCCTGTGGTGGCTATTCTGCTTTCCAGCACGCTGGGCTGGGGATTACCGAGTAATGCCGCGCTAATCCCCGCGGCAGGAGGCATTGTCCCTGGCAAATGCACCACCCATGGTCAAGTCCCTGCATGGCTGTGTGGCAGAAGTCCATCTCCTTTGTCCCCATGTCCACGGCAGGTGCTCCAGGAGCCTCAAGGTGGCCGGGGACAGCCCTCACTGCAGAGCCAGCAGTGCCCGGGCCCCGCAGACACGCTTTGTTCATTCTCCCTGTGCTTTAACGCTGGCTGTGATGGGTGAGGGAGTGCCCCCAAACTGTCAGCGAGGTGCACGCTTCCCAATCCTGCCCCCAGCATCTGTTTTCTCTTACTTTTATGTGCAGTTTTTGATCTGTGTGTTGTCAGGAATTTCAGCGACAGTATTGGGTCAGCTAAGTAGGTGTTGCACCTCAGAAGTACTGAGATTGGCAAGAAGGCTGAACCCAGTTTAGTTTCGGAGCTGGAGGCCGTCTGTGGGACCCGCTTCCCAGGCCCTCTTCCCCACCCTCCTGGCAGCTGCAGGAACGCCTTCCCTGCTCTGGGGAGCTGTCGCCTGGCCACGAAAGCCAGTCGATGCCCTGTGCTCGGCCAGGGCAGGACTCCTGCTCCCCTCCTGTCCCACACCCATCCCCTGGGGACACCCCTCCCAGCACCCCCTGGCGTCTCCCCCGTCCCGGAGCCCCTGAGGCGAGCTGCAGCAGGGCCTCCCCTGGAGCGAAGGACACAGACACAGTGGTGGCACAGTGAGGGAGGATTTACTCGCGGCGCGGTGGGCGCTGTGCTGTCGGGTCGGGCAGGGCGGGCGAGCTCCTGCTCTGCTTGTGCTTGGGGCTGTGCAAACGGGGTGCAGTCGTGACAAACAACACCTGCCTCTGTACCACGAACACACCGAAGGACCACGGAAGCAGAAGAGCCTTCTCATGCTGCAAGGCCACAAAGCACGATTTCACTTTTGCTACTAGTCTTGTGCAGTTTGAATATTACCAACAGAAGAAACAATATAAAGTGTCAAGTATTAGTTTCACTCGTCATGCTTATCTTTCAGCACATGAACCAAACACATCTTGAGACTTAGTTAAATTATGAAACACAGAAAAAATGCTGCCCAAGCTCTGCCCTTCAATGCCATCCAACTTCAAGCTGATGCTCGAAAGAAGCGTGGTCCAAGCCACCTTAACCCCCAGCTGTTACTACACATCATTGTGCTCAGCTTCTCTTAGACATCAGAAATATTTGGGCAAACCTTGGGCTGTATTTCTAGAGCTGAGATCACAACCCCCTCTGTTCTTGGGGAAAAAAATGGGTGTCTTTGGACAGGACTGCCAAATACAGATGACAGATGCCAGCAAAATGCAGAGCGCTTCTGTTGAAGATGTGGAAAGCACAGTAATGCCTGGGAGAAGAGCTGAGCCTGGAGACTTTCCCGGCCCTGTTGTAGGGAATTTTCCATCAGTTTCTGATGTGTTGCCTCTTTGCAAAGCAAGCCTGGTTACAAGGGACAAGAAGTGAGGGGAAAGCTGTGCACTGAATGTTTCCCTTGCAGAGAGCAGCTGCAAGCACTCCCCCTTACAGCTGGGAGGGGGTTGAGGCTAGTAACGAGTCTAAAACATCCCAGAGCTGGTTTAGTAGAACATCCCGGGGCTTGTTTAGTGGCTATCAAGGGTCTGTGCTTTTTAATGTCTTCTACTGTGCCATAGATTGTCTAAAACCAAAGTAGCTCGTTTTTCTGGGAAGATCTAGCTCTGAGGGCAGGTCGAGGCAAAGCAACACGGCTACAATCTGTAGTTTAACCCAGGGACTCCACGCAGTGGGAAGTTGCTTCCTTTGGCCCGTCAGTGCTGTCCTGGGAGCAGAGGCCCTCCTGGGCCATGCTGGGCGTGGGGCAGGACCTGCTTTTCTCTGTCTGGTTTGCAGCAGCCGTGCTGCTTGGGTTCTAACCCTGGGCGAGGGGCTGAGGATCCCTGTCCTCAAACCCACAGCTCTCTGCTCCTTCGTGCAGAGGATTGTTCCTTCTGAACAGCGAACTGACACACCACCACCCTCTTCCTTTTCCTTCCTCCCTGCGGTCTCAGCTTCCAGCTTCTTCATGTTAAATGGTTCTCGTAGGGCAAATAATCTGTGCCACCACTGAGTAGCCACTGGGGAATCTATTTTTAACCACATGCAGCTTGAGAACATTAATTGCCATCACTAGTCCTTTGCCTCCGCCCTTGCGGCGCGGTTTGTGAGCAGGAGCCTTTCCTTGAAGAGACGTTGGTGCCGCTGCACGTACAGCTCCAGGAGGACACGTGTGGAGCTCACGCTGCTGAAGCCTCTGCCCTGCACCACCAGCAGCCCCCGCAGCCCGTCTGCTCGCCCAGCTCAGCACCACTGCTGCACGAGCAAGTTGCTGGCTCATGTTCAACTGGGTGTCCACCGGGACACCCAGCCCCTTTTCTGCACTGGTGCACGGGGTTGCTCTTTCCTAGGTGCAGAACTTTGCATTTCTCCTTGTTGAACTTCAGGAGGTTCCTGTCAGCCACATCCCACTGAATGGCAGCACAACTCCTGCTCTGTGAGCTGCTGCTCCCAGTTCTGTAGCATTTGCAGACTTGTTGAGGGCATGCCCTGCTGCAGCTGAACTTCATGCTCCTGTTCATAACCCTCCATGCCTGGCGCTTCAGCCAGTTTTCAGACACTGATTCTGGTGGTTCCCCTTTGCCAGCTGGATGGCAGCCTTCACTTGACAATTTGCTAGGCTTATTTGACTAAGCTAGCAAAATGGGGTGAAAACTAGATAAAGCCTAGCTCAGTATTTTGAGTTAAATAGAGGATCAGGCTGACTCTGCAGATATGAAGTTCTCTGAGTTTTTCAGTGCTACAAACTCTATGGTTCTCTTTTCAGATTTTTTGGATGCTTTCTCCCCATGGAAGTCCCTTAAAGCTATGTCGACTACTTGAAATAAAGTGTCAGGACAAGCAGTGTGCTAATGGGGTCATCCCATCATCAGTGCCAGGCATTAGTCCATCTAGACACACACAGAAAAGGGCAGTACACAGGAACACTGAAGCCACGTCAAGTCTTGAAAGCGCACACAGAGAAGCAAGCCCTGGGGAGTCTGTCTGGCCAGTGAATTCCTTCTGTCTGGACGTGGTGGAATACATGGCAGTTCTTAAGGGTTGTCTTTGACTAGTGCTGGATTGAGGATTTGAGCGCGATAGTCAACTGTCAAACCAAAACCATCCATCAGCTGCTAGCATATGAAGGGATCCCATTTCTTTTGCCTGGTCTTAGAGGTTGCCTGGGATATAATGAGAGTATTTGAAATGTTAGAGCTCAGAAAAACCCAAAGAGAAAAGATGGCAGTAAGCAGACAGATTTGGTCCAGGCTTTTGGAGGTAACATCAACGATAATGTCTGTCCATGCTTGGGGTGCTCCTGGGTGACCCTGTGCAAAACACAGTAGATGAAGGTATTGTGCTGAAGGATCCTGAAACATCTGTGTTTTCAGCAGCTTTCCGGAAATGTCAGTGCAAAGCATGAGCTGCTCTAGGAACCAAAAGTGAAGTAGGGTGTTTGGCCTGTTGTTTGGCAGTGTTTGCTTGGGCCACTACACAGGGTGGTAGCGTCGACTCTGTCGCTCTCCCCTCAGCCTCCATCCTCTCCCTCAGTCCTGCCTCTGTTCCTGGGTATCCACCTGCTGCACGTTGGCTTCTCTCGCTCGGTCCTGCTGACAGGTTGGATCTGCAGTGGCAGTTAGCTCTGTGGCCTTCACTCCTCACAGTCTGTGAAGTATTAGGGAAAACAGTGACTGGTAGAACGCCTGCGGCGTGTCTGTGGTTATGGGGCTGGCCCTCATCACGGAACGTGGGTGCCAGTGCCAGGTGCCAAGGGGTGGTTTCTGTTGCCGTGGTACCTTTGCTCCCCGCTGCTCCTCTGCATAAACAAGGACCTCACAGAAGTGACAGTGGGTGGGCTAATGAGATTAATTCAAATCATCCAGGCAGCCGAACCCCTTGCTTGAGAGAACCACTTGACTAGGTGAGAGATTGTCCTTTAAATTCATTTTCCAGACAGTCTCCTGGGCTAGGATGAGGCAGGAAAATCAGAGAGGGTGGTGTGAGAAGAAGGCTGTGCCGAGCAGCTTTGTGGAGGGCAAGGTGGAAGGGGAAGTGCAGCTTATTGCCCGGGCTCCGAAGCCTGCTGGAAGTCTGGGTGAGCCTACATGTGGAGCTGGTGCCACATGGCTATCTGTCTCCTGGGGTTCCTCAGCATTTCCTCCCAGTGGTTCCTCTCGGTGGCCGTGCCCTGCAAGCCCAGGCTGCACCTGCCCAGCACCTGGCTCTGCCCAGCACCATCCTGGCTCAGCATGTCCAGCTCCACGCTGGAGGCGCGCAGGAGCTCGTGAGGCACCTCAAACATGATCATCTCGTTCCACACGGGGTTGATCTTGTGTTTTGCACGTTTGGTCTGCTTCTTCTTCAGCTTCAAGGACTGGTGCCTCAGTGTCACCTTGACAGAAACATCTGTGTAGGAAGTGGAGAGAGATGACATGTTCATAATGAGCATGCAACAAAATGAATGCAGGAAACTTTTAACAGATGACATCAGAATGAGAGAGAGAGCATAAGAAATGTGGATCTTGGAGAGGTTTGGCTTTCCCTTTTTAGAAATTATTCATATATCTTTGGCTTTCTAGGCCAAACATCTTTTTTTTTCTGGCAAACACCACCCTTCCCACTTTCTTTCTAGATTTACATAATAGCAGAAACAACAGTCTGAGTTTTCTTGCTCTTCTACTCACCATTGCCAAGTAGATCTTTCAGCTGCTTGGAGTGGAGGTTTTTAGCCTTAATAATCACCACCAGCAGGCGGTTGGCTGCTGGCAGGTAGCTGATAGAGAGCAGCACCTCCCCGTGGCCTGTAGATGGCTCCTGGCAATGGAGAAACAGGAGGGGTTAACTTTTAATACAGTCCTGGCCATAACATTAGGAAGACTAAATAGTACAAGGCGGTGGGTGGAAGGTCGTGGGCCGACCAAGTTATATGGTATGGGAAAAACTCCAGCCAACCTGAAATCCTGCAGGAGCTGGGCACAGCCCCTGGCTCTTCCCCGGGGCCTGTGAGCAGCTCTGCCTGCTGCCCCGAGGCTTGTCCTCCAGGGGAAAGCTCTGACCCATCAGGCCATCACCCCGGGGCCATGCTTTGTTTGCTTGCTTTTATTTTCATTTATTCCTTTCTTCCCAGTAGTGATGGGCCTCTTAGCCTCCTGACCTTTCTCCCCTTCCTTCCTGCTCGCCCTGGACAAGCAGCACCCGAGGGAGAAGCAGAGGGATGTCACCACACGGCCCATCCCATCCCATCCCATCCCTCTCCCCAGTGCTGTTTCCTCCCTGGGAGCTGTGGGGTCCCTCCTGGGGGGCTGCATGGTGGGGTGCAGAGCTGCCAGCCCATGGCGAGGGCCCAAGGGGAGCAGTTATTCTCTCAGTGAGTAGGAGCTTCTGACAGAAATCTGGTTTAACTCCAGGTTAATGACCCAGAAGAGTCCCAGAAAGCCAATGCCAGTTCCAGAGACTCCCTTTGGACACCCCAGCATGATTTACATGCTTCAGGACAGACAGCCCTTCTCCAGGCCGTGTCTCTGCTCTGCTCTCTTGCTTCCAAGTGAGCCATAAATATTTCAAATTAGGGTTGCACCCTGTTACTCACAACAGGCAAGGAGAGGCCCCTGTGTGCTCCATGAGAGCTGCCTGACTCTCCAGAAGGCGTGGTTGTTGTGGCTGGCTGCTCTGAGTGACTCCTTTGTCGTGCACAAATCAGGTGGGAGGCCATCAGTGAGGACGCCACTGACACTCGGTCCCACATCAGCCCAAGCCAATCTTTTTTCACGTGCTCAGGTAGCAGGGAAGGGCTCATAAGCATTTCACATAAATCCTGTCCTAAATTTAAACTAATCTTAAACAAAGCACCCCCCACATCAAAACAAGCAGAGGCAGACTGAGACGGCTGTGTGGCCTCTGCAGCAGGATGGGGGTGGGCACGGGGAGGGGCAGACGCAGACAGCCCCTCGGGACCGAGCCCGGCGCTGGGGCGGGGCACGGGCTGCTCGGGCGTGTCTGTCCCCTCCCCGTCTCACCCCCCTGCTGCCAGCCCCTGGCGAGGACTTGGCTCCGGGCACCCGAGCTGCAGGGCTGAGGGAGGGCTGGCAGGGTCTGCAGTCCTGCACACACATGCACACACGAGGGGTGCACACACACACACACACACACAGAAGGGGTGCACACACGGGGTGCACACACACACACAGAAGGGTTGCACACACGGGGTGCACACACACACGCACACACACGAGGGGTGCACACACAGGGTACACACACACACACAGAAGGGGTGCACACACGGGGCACACACCCACACACACA